AGAGACAATGATCAAGAAATATATATTTTTTTTTAAAAAAAACCCAGATCTTCCTCTTTGAAATGCAGAGTATTTTTCCGTGCGTAGGATAGCCCAGGCTAGTCCAGTCTCATCCGACCTCGGAAGCTAAGCAGGGTCAGCCCGGATTGCATACTTGAATGGGAGACCACCAAGCAAGCGATGCTTCCTCTAAGCTGTGGAGTCTTGTGAGCAAGAATTCTACTTTGTGAGCTCCTGGCATGAAAGTTGTGAGGGAGCGATTTTGGCTGCTGCATCAATCAGTTCACTCTGGAGCAGTGTTCCCTCTAAGCTGAGTTAGTGTGAGCTAGCTCGCAGTTTTTTAGCCTCTGGCTGAGAAATTTTTGCCTTAGCTCAGGAAGGATGGCTCCAGAGCCAAATAATTTTTGCAGCAGCCAAATCGCTTACTCACAACTTTAATGCCAGTAGCTCAGAAAGTAGAATTTTTGCTCACAAGACCCCATAACTTAGAGCAGTGATGGCGAACCTTTTAGAGACCGAGTGCCCAAACTGCGACCCAAAACCCACTTATTTATCGCAAAGTGCCAACACAGCAATTTAACCTGAATACTGAAGTTTAACTTTAAAAAAACAACCCATACATTAATTTAAGATGATCCAAACAAAGTAAGGGAAGCAATCCCAAATGCTTTCATTTACTTAAAATTATTTGGCAGAGAATTCGACACTTTAATGATGGTCTGGGCCTGGCTGGGGCGATGGCACGCGTGCCCACAGAGAGGGCTCTGAGTGCTACCTCTGGCACCCGTGCCATAGGTTCGCCACCACTGACTTAGAGGGAACATTGCTCTGGAGCCCTCCTTCCTGAGCTGAGACAAAAATGTGTGAGCTGGAGGCTAAAAACCCGTGAGCTAGCTCACACTAACTCATCTTAGAGGGAACACTGCAAGCAAGTCCAGGAGTGGTCTGCAAAGGCAAGCAGTGGCAAACACTCTCTGTATGTCTTTTGCCCTGACCTGGATTGCGCGGGCGAGCCCGATCTCATCGGATTCCCGGAAGCTGAGCCCCAGTTAGCACTTGGATGGGAGACCACGAAGGAAGCCCAGGGCTGCTACGCAGAGGCAGGTGATGGCAACCCACCTCTGAATGTCTCCTGCCTCGAAAAACCTCCTAGGTTTTATCATGAGTCAGCTGCAACTTGACGAGGGAGGGGGAAAGGACTTCTCTAAAACCTGACTGTTTGGAAGCAGGAAACTCGATCGCTGTAGGTTCGGCGTCACTTGAATTAGTTTGCGGACTGGTGCGGTTTCTTGCCGAGAGCTCTCTGGTGGGGTTTTAGATCATGCAAAAATAAACATTGCTCTGGAGCCCTCCTTCCTGAGCTGAGACAAAAATGTGTGAGCTGGAGGCTAAAAACCCGTGAGCTAGCTCACACTAACTCATCTTAGAGGGAACCCTGCAAGCAAGTCCAGGAGTGGTCTGCAAAGGCAAGCAATGGCAAACACCCCCTGTATGTCTTTTGCTCTGACCTGGATGGTGCGGGCGAGCCCGATCTCGTCAGATTCCCGGAAGCTGAGCCGCAGTTAGCACTTGGATGGGAGACCACGAAGGAAGCCCAGGGCTGCTACGCAGAGGCAGGCAATGGCAACCCACCTCTGAATGTCTCCTGCCTCGAAAAACTTCTTGGGTTTTACCATAAGTCAGCTGCAACTTGACGAGGGAGGGGGAAAGGACTTCTCTAAAATCTGACTGTTTGGAAGCAGGAAACTCGATCGCTGTAGGTTCGGCGTCACTTGAATTAGTTTGCGGACTGGTGCGGTTTCTTGCCGAGAGCTCTCTGGTGGGGTTTTAGATCATGCAAAAATAGAACCACAAGAACTGTACACAGTGCGCTCAGTATTTCTTTAACGAAAACCGTAAAGTTATAAATATGAAATGTACAAAAGTAATGGAGAAGAACATCTCTCAACACATAAGCTTTATTCTGTTTGAGAGATGTTCTTCTCCATTATTTATGCAATGAAATAGGTGAAACTATTGAACTCCATGTGAATTGGGCAGCTTTTCCATTGTAGTGCAATTTTTCATACAACATCAACTTATAGACTCTTCGTTAGAAGAAGACTTTTGTTGAAACGGCATCGCATTCCGGAGACCACCATCCTGTCGTTGTCATCTTCTATCTTTATGTATCTGAACTTACACATTTGAATGTATTATTATCACTTTTGTACATTTCATATTTATAACTTTACGGTTTTCGTTAAAGAAATATTGAGCGCACTGTGTACAGTTCTTGTGGTTCTATTTTTGCATGTCTATGGACTGTGACCATATTTGTTTTTGTATACATTAATATTGGGGTTTTAGATCATACAGTCCGTTCTGTCTGTGGCAGACTGTCAGACAGTCAAACTGAGATCCCCGTGGCTTGAAGTTTCTGGGTTATCGTTCGTGCAGGTCACTGAACGTCATCTGTAGTTACCTAAGACTGCAGTCTGCTCTGCTCCTGAATTGGGCCGTGATATCGGGAGGCAAACTCACCTTTCCGAGCAGCAGCTGCTAGCATTTGGAAAGGAAATACACACGAGTTCCTTTATTCCTTGTTTCCTTAATTGCATTGCATTTATTATGCATCTGAAAAGTAGCACACAGGTTTGTTTGCTCAGAGTGGAGCTCGCCCTTCCGTTGTTTCCAGATCTCGCCACAGTTTTGAGCGTGCATTGAACACGCTCGCCGAGAGGCAATTAAGCATTGCACCAACAGCTCGGTGCTGCAAATGATGTTGGGAACTTGCAGTCTGCCGCAAGTGTGTGTGCAATGCAGGGAGGGGTCTGTATTGATCTCGACAGGATTTAACGGCGTGTAACTGCTGTTGCAATGGCAGTGTCGACCTTGACTCACACATGCACACAAAGCTGTCTTATACTGAATCAGACCATCAGTCCTTGAAGGTTGGTATTGTCTACTTAAACCAGGGTCTCAGACAGAGGTCTTTCACAACACCCACTGCTGGAGGTGCCGGGGACTGAACCTGGGACCTTGTGCATGCAAAACAGAGGCTCTTCCCATCCGATTTGGTACTGCAGACTGACAGTGGCTCTCCAGCGTCTCAGGCTGAGGTCTTTCACATCACACCTCCTGCCTGGTCCTTTCAACTGGAGATGCCGGGGATTGAACCTGGGACATTCTGCATGCCAAGCAGAGGCTCTGCCACTAAGCAGGGGCTCAGATGAATACTTTATGAAGCTGCCTTATACTGAATCAGACCCTCGATCGATCAAGGTCAGTGTCATCTACTTAGACTGGCAGTGGCTCTCCAGGGTCTCAGGCTGAGGTCTTTCACATCACACCTCCTGCCTGGTCCTTTCAACTGGAGATGCCGGGGATTGAACCTGGGACATTCTGCATGCCAAGCAGAGGCTCTGCCACTAAGCAGGGGCTCAGATGAATACTTTATGAAGCTGCCTTATACTTGACCAGACTCTTGGTCTGTCAAGGTCAGTATCATCTACTTAGACTGACAGTGGCTCTCCAGGGTCTCAGGCAGAGGGCTTTCACATCACCTACTGCTGGAGGTGCTGGGTATTGAACCTGAGACCTTCTGCATGCAAACAAGCTCTTCCACTGAGCCACGGCCTCTTCCCCTTAGTGTCATCTACTCGGACTGGCAGCGGCTCTCCAGGGTCTCAGGCAGAGGTCTTTCACATCACCTCCTGCCTGGTCCTTTTAACTGGAGATGCTGGGGATTGAACCGGGGACCTTCTGCATGCTGAGCAGATGCTCTTCCACAGAGCCATGGCCTCTCCCCATCAAGTTCAGTATTGTAGACCAACAGTAGCTCTCCAGGGTCTCAGCCAGAGGTCTTTCCCATCACCTACTGCCCGGTCCTTTTTTAACTGGGAATACCGGGAATTGAACCTGGGACCTTCTGCATGCAAAGCAGAGGCTCTTCCACTGAGCCACAGCCCCTCCCCTTGTATGCTGCATAAATGGAATGGGCAAATGATTTCATTAGAATCCGGGGATGGGGGAGACGCTGTAAAGGCAACTGTGACTGAAATATCACATGCAGGCTGCACTTCCAACTGTGACAGGATGTGTCCCACTTGCTGAGTGTTGCTATGGACATAATGCTACGTAATGGTTGACTGTAAGCCCTCCTGGGGAACAAAGCAGATACTTACAATATTAAATGTATACCTTTCCTCCTTAATTTGCATCTAGCTACCTTCGGTGGTTTCAGATTTTTGTTGTTCAGTTTGAATCATTCTCAGATTCCAGCTTGCTGAAACTGTCCTTAGTTTTCTTTGTATGTTCGTCAGGACGAACCCCAGCAGCTGGAGTGATGCTGCAGAGGTTTCCCCACTCTGTCCTTAGGATGGAAAGACTGCACTTCATTGGGGAATCGTTTGTGCTTCATTGTGGGAGGGGCCATGGCTCAGTGGAAGAGCCTCTGCTTGGCATGCTGAAGGTCCCAGGTTCAATCCCCAGCATCTCCAGTTAAAAGGACCAGGCAGGAGGTGATGGGAAAGACCTCTGCCTGAGACCCTGGAGAGCTATAAAGAGGGGCTGTGGCTCAGTGGCAGAGCATCTGCTTGGCATGCTGAAGGTCCCAGGTTCAATCCCCGGCATCTCCAGTTAAAAGGACCAGGCAGGAGGTGATGGGAAAGACCTCCGCCTGAGACCCTGGAGAGCTGGACGGTCCCCGGCATCTCCAGTTAAAAGGACTAGGCAGGAGGTGATGGGAAAGACCTCCGCCTGAGACCCTGGAGAGCTGTAAAGAGGGGCTGTGGCTCAGTGGTAGAGCCTCTGCTTGGCATGCAGAAGGTACCAGGTTCAATCCCCGGCATCTCCAGTTAAAAGGACCAGGTAAGTAGGAGTTTGGAAAGATCTCAGCCTGAAAGC